ACACACACAATATGGCACACAGACAATATCATACACACAATATCACACACACACAATATCACACACACACACAATATCATACACACAATTTCACACACACAAAATGGCACACACACAATATCACACACACAATATTACACATACAATATCACACACACAATATCACACACACAATATCACACACACAATATGGCACACACACAATATCATACACACAATATCACAAACACAATATGGCACACAGACAATATCACACACACACAATATCACACATACAATATCACACACACAATATCACACACACAATATCACACTCACAATATCACACACACAATATAGCACACACACAATACCACACACACAATATCATACACACAATATCACACACACAATATCATACACACAATATCACACACACAAGATGGTACACACACAATATCAAACACACAATATCACACACACACAATATCATACACACAATATCACACACACAAAATGGCACACACACAATATCACACACATACAATATCACACACAAAATTTGGCACACACACACAATATCACACACACACGCAACCACACACACAATATGGCATATACACAATATCACACGAGCGAGCGTGTGTGTGTGTGTGTTGAAAGGCGCCCCACATGATTAATAGAAGTGGTATACAATTGTTGTTGAATGTAAAAATAATTTTTTAATCCTGTTGTCCAGTATTATTCTTATACATTTTTTTGTGTTTTTTTAAATACCATGATTCTTTGAAGCTTTTTATATAAAAGCGTATATTTTTCTTTTGTTTTTAACACATTCTAATTTGTTTACCTCTATTTTACTTCTGCCGCTATCTGCTTGCTACTCTCTTTTCAAATTATAGTTTGCTTCATCTATTATAAGGTGACGCGTTCGATTCCTGGCACAGTAACTATAGCTTTCGGTTTGCATGTTGTTTTTCTATCTTTCTACTTCTTTATATGAGGGCCGATCAAAACACTGCCTCTTTGTTAATTTTAGTTCTAATATTTCTACAGCTTCAAGGGTTCCCCAATGTTTATTTTTGTGATGTCTATTATAAGGAGCTGCCGTGGTGTAGCGGGTAGTCACTAGCCTGCGGATCAAAAGGTGGTGGGTTCGAATGCTAACAGAGCTAGACTTTTTTGTTTTTGTACTGTTTTAAATTGCCCTGACTCTCAGGTCAACCACGTCGGAAAGCGTAGAAAAAGGGTCTTTAACTTTACTTTTTGTTTCTATTCTTTTTTTTTTTTCCGCATCTGCTAATTTCTGCTTCTGTTTGTCGTCTGCTATCGTCTGTTACACCAACCCCGTCCTATACTGAATGAAACTACAATGATGATGTATTCGCCCAGGAATGGTGACAGCGCTGGATGAAGCGGTCGGAAATATTACATCGGCGCTGTTTCAGTCACAGCTGATAGACAACTTGCTGCTGGTGTTTACTTCTGATGTAAGTGACAGTCTGTGAGGTGTCAGTGACAGACTGAATGATGCCAGTGACAGTCTGTGAGGTGACAATCACAGACTGAATGATGCCAGTGACAGTCTGTGAGGTGACAATCACAGACTGACTGATGCCAGTGACAGTCTGTGAGGTACCACTGACACAGACTGGCGAATAACAGTCTGTGAGGTGCCAGTGACAGACTGAGTGATGCGAATGACAGACTGTGATGTGTTAGTGAGAGACTGAGTGTTGCGAATGACAGATTGTAATGTGCTAGTGACAGACTGAGTGATGCCAATGACAGATTGTGAGGTGCTAGTGACAGAGTGATGCCAATGACAGATTGTGAGGTGCTAGTGACAGACTGGGTGATGCGAATGACAGATTGTGAGGTGCTAGTGACAGACTGGGTGATGCGAATGACAGATTGTGAGGTGCTAGTGACAGACTGGGTGATGCCAATGACAGATTGTGAGGTGCTAGTGACAGACTGAGTGATGCCAATGACAAATTGTGAGGTGCTAGTGACAGATTAAGTGATGCCAATGACAGATTGTGATGTGCTAGTGACAGACTGGGTGATGCCAGTGACAGATCGTGATGTGCTAGTGACAGACTGAGTGATGCCAGTGACAGATTGTGAGGTACTAGTGACAGACTGGGTGATGCGAATGACAGATTGTGAGGTGCTAGTGACAGACTGGGTGATGCGAATGACAGACTGTGATGTGCTAGTGACAGACTGAGTGATGCCAATGACAGATTGTGATGTGCTAGTGACAGACTGAGTGATGCCAATGACAGATCGTGATGTGCTAGTGACAGACTGAGTGATGCCAGTGACAGACTGTGAGGTGCTAGTGACAGACTGGGTGATGCGAATGACAGATTGTGAGGTGCTAGTGACAGACTGGGTGATGCGAATGACAGATTGTGAGGTGCTAGTGACAGAGTGATGCCAATGACAGATTGTGAGGTGCTAGTGACAGACTGGGTGATGCGAATGACAGATTGTGAGGTGCTAGTGACAGACTGGGTGATGCGAATGACAGATTGTGAGGTGCTAGTGACAGACTGGGTGATGCCAATGACAGATTGTGAGGTGCTAGTGACAGACTGAGTGATGCCAATGACAAATTGTGATGTGCTAGTGACAGACTAAGTGATGCCAATGACAGATTGTGATGTGCTAGTGACAGACTGGGTGATGCCAGTGACAGATCGTGATGTGCTAGTGACAGACTGAGTGATGCCAGTGACAGATTGTGAGGTACTAGTGACAGACTGGGTGATGCGAATGACAGATTGTGAGGTGCTAGTGACAGACTGGGTGATGCGAATGACAGATTGTGAGGTGCTAGTGACAGACTGAGTGATGCCAATAACAGATTGTGAGGTGCTAGTGACAGACTGGGTGATGCGAATGACAGATTGTGAGGTGCTAGTGACAGACTGGATGATGCGAATGACAGATTGTGAGGTGCTAGTGATAGACTGGGTGATGCCAATGACAGATTGTGAGGTGCTAGTGACAGACTGAGTGATGCCAATGACAGATTGTGATGTGCTAGTGACAGACTAAGTGATGCCAATGACAGATTGTGAGGTGCTAGTGACAGACTGGGTGATGTGAATGACAGATTGTGAGGTGCTAGTGACAGACTGGGTGATGCGAATGACAGATTGTGAGGTGCTAGTGACAGACTGGGTGATGCGAATGACAGATTGTGAGGTGCTAGTGACAGACTGGGTGATGCGAATGACAGATTGTGAGGTGCTATTGACAGACTGGGTGATGCGAATGACAGATTGTGAGATGCTAGTGACAGACTGGGTGATGCCAATGACAGATTGTGAGGTGCTAGTGACATATTGAGTGATGCCAGTGACAGATTGTGAGGTGCTAGTGACAGACTGGGTGATGCGAATGACAGATTGTGATGTGCTAGTGACAGACTGGGTGATGCGAATGACAGATTGTGAGGTGCTAGTGACAGACTAAGTGATGCCAATGACAGATTGTGATGTGCTAGTGACAGACTGAGTGATGCCAATGACAGATTGTGTTGTGCTAGTGACAGACTGAGTGATGCCAATGACAGATTGTGAGGTGCTAGTGACAGACTGGGTGATGCCAATGACAGATTGTGATGTGCTAGTGACAGACTGGGTGATGCCAATGACAGAATGTGAGGTGCTAGTGACAGACTGGGTGATGTCAATGACAGATTGTGAGGTGCTAGTGACATACTGAGTGATGCCAGTGACAGATTGTGATGTGCTAGTGGGAGACTGGGTGATGCGAATGACAGATTGTGATGTGCTAGTGACAGACTGAGTGATGCCAATGACAGATTGTGAGGTGCTAGTGACAGATTAAGTGATGCGAATGACAGATTGTGAGGTGCTAGTGACAGATTAAGGGATGCGAATGACAGACGGGGGGATGTCAACGGCAGACTGAGGGGTGTCAATGACAGACTAAACAATGTCAGAGAGAGACAGAGGGTGTACATTTCAGAATGATTGAAGTCGGTGACATACCCAGTGATGTTGAAGACAGCTCAAACTATGTTGTTCTCAGATCGAATAATGTCTTTGTCCTATCGAGTACTGGGTGAAAGATCTTCTTCACGTCGAGTTTACCGGCTGTAAACTCCGGTGGAAATTTCTGATTACTAATCCACTACTGGGCTTTAGTCATGTTCCACAACCTGGGAATTAAGTGCACATATGTTTGACACATCTAGCTTATTTTAATGCAGACTAATGGTTTATTGCCTCTCAGGCAGATGAACTCCGACTTCGGTAGTAAACGCCCAAAATCAGTTGACTTTTACGGCATGGTTGTTAAGGTACAGCGAGTCTGTTTTTTTTTTTCCTCCACAAAGAGACCCCGGAAACCAACCACATGGGGGGAGGGGTGAGGGCGATCTATCCACCTGTTTCAGTGACACACCCAGCGGCGTCAGTGACAGATCGAGTGATATCAGAAATGTATGGAATGCCGTAACATGGCGAATAATGCCAGTGAATGGATGTGTCAGTAACAGATTGAGTGACCTCAGAGATGTATGGGATGCTGTAACAGTGCCAGTGACAGCTGAGGAGGTGTCAGTGATAGAACGAACGATGTCAGTGACAGATCTTTCCGAGTCGCTGTGCCGTGTAAAGAAACGGGCGAGGTGATCTGATGGCTTCAAGAGCGACAGCAGCAGCAACTCATGTTAGACAGGAAGGCTTTAAAGAGTATCCTTCAATTACTTACTTTTTACGGAGTCCATCCTCTTCTACCCTGAGGTGTAGAGGTTTGCCAGAGGCATCACTAGACTTCTCTTCAAGCAGCAAGTCTCGAAAGAGGTAGCTTCAATAGAAGATTTTAAATCAGAAATTCTTCACTCAATGACATACAGAATCGACGAGACCAACGAAGAGTATACACCATCGTGTTTAGGGAAATTCCCAAACCGGACAGAAAAACGAAAGAAACGCAAACTCCAAGCCAAAGCCAAGACCAAGTGAGAAAGGCATTGTAGTTGTAGCAAAGAAAACAATGACTGAGCTGGTGAAGATAAATTATACGAGCACCAACGGCGACTTGCAACGTATAGATTATACCAAGCCACGATTATCCAACGGAACTTCAAAAGAATACACCTGGTCCTGAAGACAACATTCCATGCAAGCAACAGGATGACGACCTGGAACATCTCGTATATGACAAACATTTTTAGCAAGCAACAGGATGACGACCTGGAACATCTCGTATATGACAAACATTCCTAGCAAGAAGCATGATGACGACCTGGAACATCTCGTATATGACAAACATTTCTAGCAAGCAACAGGATGACGACCTGGAACATCTCGTATATGACAAATATTCCTAGCAAGAAGCATGATGATGACGACCTGGAACATCTCGTATATGACAAACATTCCTAGCAAGAAGCATGATGACGACCTGGAACATCTCGTATATGACAAACATTCCTAGCAAGCAGCAGGATGACGACCTGTAACATCTCGTATATGGTGATATGGACGAAGACGACATGCCGACAACAAAGCCTGGTCAAGATCGGGACAGCGACTGAGGACCTAATGGCTGAACAACAGCGATAACAGCTAATAAAACAACAAGAAGAACTGGTACAGCTCAGGAGACAGCCCAATACGTGCCACTAACACCACCAAAGGACTGCACAATAAGGAACATGACCTAATAATATCCAAGCGTGTACAATAAAATGGACACGACCTGGCCGGCCAGTCAGACACGGAAGACATAACGCAGTAGCACCAAACATTATGCAAGGAAAAAGCAACACTTCTTGCCATAATTATAACCGATACTGATAAAGATGATGCTAGCTCCCAAATTAGAGGTTGAACGTGGCTAACTGAAATCGAACGAACGAATGCGTTGGTCAATACTCCCACATTCTGTATACATATCCTGACGATATAACTGTGCCTGATCCAATCCAGTTTATAAGGCTTGGGTTTCTTCCTCTTCTTCTTCGCGTTCACCGGATGTAAACTCCAGCGGAAAGTTCTGGTTGTCCATCCACTTCTAGACCCTAGCCCTGTTCCAGAACCTGAGTGTTGTGTGTACATCCGTTTCACAGGTCTGATTCATTTGCATACAGACTGTTGGTTCCTTGCCTCTCAGACAGATGTACTCCGTCTTCGAAGGAAGCTCCCAATTAGTCGACTCTTACGACATGCTTTTGGGCAGGCAGTGGGTCTATTCTTGGTTTCCCCACAACTGGGCCCTGGAACCCTCATGGAGAGGGCCTGGGATTCAAGATCCTGACGTGTCGTTCAATGACTTGAATTATTACTTCCAGAACGGCGGGCACCCCTACATGGGAGGCAGCAACAGCCCACTTAGAGGTGGTAAAAACACCATTTGGGAAGGCGGGACTCGAGTTCCGACATTCGTCTATAGTTCCACCTTGTTACGTAGGAGAGGATACGCCAACAACAGGTAATGTCTTATAAAGACTAGTGAACTTTTTAAAGTTTAGACCTGCGGATTGAAAGTCTATCGAACCTTTTAAAGTTTAGACCAGTCGTTTGAAAGATTATTAAATTTTTTTAAAGTTACACCTGTAGTTTGAAAGACAAGTGAACTTTTTAAAGTTTAGACCAGTCGTTTGAAAAAATAGTGAGCTTTTTGAAGTTCAGATCTGTGGTTTGAAAGACTAGTGAACTTTTCCAAGTTTAGACCTGTGATTTAAAAGACTAGTAAACTTTTTAAAGTTTAGACCTATGGTTTACAACCATTTATCGGTTGGCGATTTTTTTAAGACAACCACGGCCCAGACCCCCCCCCCCCCCCCCCCCCAAATGTGATTTAAAATGGGGGAGGGGGGGGAGATCCTAATTAGTAACGATTTGGAGAAAAACATCCACATCAATCGGTGTCAAATCACCTAAAATAAACAATCACCAACATCTGGTAATGTGTTCAATTATCAATGTGACCGCTGACACTGGTCTGTCTTGATGACCGCTGACACTGGTCTGTCTTGATGACCGCTGACACTGGTCTGTCTTGATGACCGCTGACACTGGTCTGTCTTGATGACCGCTGACACTGGTCTGTCTTGATGACCGCTGACACTGGTTTATCTTGATGACGGCTGACACTGGTTTATCTTGATGACCGCTGACACTGGTTTATCTTGATGACGGCTGACACTGGTTTATCTTGATGACGGCTGACACTGGTTTATCTTGATGACGGCTGACACTGGTTTATCTTGATGACCGCTGACACTGGTCTATCTTGATGACGGCTGACACTCGTCTATCTTGATGACCGCTGACACTGGTTTATCTTGATGACGGCTGACACTGGTCTGTCTTGTTGACGGCTGACACTGGTCTGTCTTGATGACGGCTGACACTGGTTTATCTTGATGACGGCTGACACTGGTCTATCTTGATGACCGCTGACACTGGTCTGTCTTGATGACGGCTGACACTGGTTTATCTTGATGACGGCTGACACTGGTCTGTCTTGATGACGGCTGACACTGGTCTGTCTTGATGAGGGCTGACACTGGTTTATCTTTATGACGGCTGACACTGGTTTATCTTGATGACCGCTGACACTGGTTTATCTTGATGACCGCTGACACTGGTTTATCTTGATGACGGCTGTCACTGGTCTGTCTTGATGACGGCTGACACTGGTCTGTCTTGATGACGGCTGACACTGGTCTGTCTTGATGACCGCTGACACTGGTTTATCTTGATGACGGCTGTCACTGGTCTGTCTTGATGACGGCTGACACTGGTCTGTCTTGATGACGGCTGACACTGGTCTGTCTTGATGAAAGCTGACACTGGTCTGTCTTGATGACCGCTGACACTGGTCTGTCTTGATGACGGCTGACACTGGTTTATCTTGATGACGGCTGACACTGGTCTGTCTTGATGAAAGCTGACACTGGTCTGTCTTGAGGACGGCTGACACTGGTTTATCTTGATGACGGCTGACACTGGTTTATCTTGATGACCGCTGACACTGGTCTGTCTTGATGACGGCTGACACTGGTCTGTCTTGATGACCGCTGACACTGGTCTGTCTTGATGACCGCGACACTGGTCTGTCTTGATGACGGCTGACACTGGTCTGTCTTGATGACGGTTGACACTGGTTTATCTTGATGACCGCTGACACTGGTTTATCTTGATGACCGCTGACACTGGTTTATCTTGATGACCGCTGACACTGGTTTATCTTGATGACGGTTGACACTGGTCTGTCTTGATGACCGCTGACACTGGTCTGTCTTGATGACGGCTGACACTGGTTTATCTTGATGACGGCTGACACTGGTTTATCTTGATGACCGCTGACACTGGTTTATCTTGATGACCGCTGACACTGGTTTATCTTGATGACCGCTGACACTGGTCTGTCTTGATGAGGGCTGACACTGGTTTATCTTTATGACGGCTGACACTGGTTTATCTTGATGACCGCTGACACTGGTTTATCTTGATGACCGCTGACACTGGTTTATCTTGATGACGGCTGTCACTAGTCTGTCTTGATGACGGCTGACACTGGTCTGTCTTGATGACGGCTGACACTGGTCTGTCTTGATGACCGCTGACACTGGTTTATCTTGATGACGGCTGTCACTGGTCTGTCTTGATGACGGCTGACACTGGTCTGTCTTGATGACGGCTGACACTGGTCTGTCTTGATGAAAGCTGACACTGGTCTGTCTTGATGACCGCTGACACTGGTCTGTCTTGATGACCGCTGACACTGGTCTGTCTTGATGACGGTTGACACTGGTTTATCTTGATGACGGCTGACACTGGTCTGTCTTGATGAAAGCTGACACTGGTCTGTCTTGATGACGGCTGACACTGGTTTATCTTGATGACGGCTGACACTGGTTTATCTTGATGACCGCTGACACTGGTCTGTCTTGATGACGGCTGACACTGGTCTGTCTTGATGACCGCTGACACTGGTCTGTCTTGATGACCGCGACACTGGTCTGTCTTGATGACGGCTGACACTGGTCTGTCTTGATGACGGTTGACACTGGTTTATCTTGATGACCGCTGACACTGGTTTATCTTGATGACCGCTGACACTGGTTTATCTTGATGACCGCTGACACTGGTTTATCTTGATGACGGTTGACACTGGTCTGTCTTGATGACCGCTGACACTGGTCTGTCTTGATGACGGCTGACACTGGTTTATCTTGATGACGGCTGACACTGGTTTATCTTGATGACCGCTGACACTGGTTTATCTTGATGACCGCTGACACTGGTTTATCTTGATGACCGCTGACACTGGTCTATCTTGATGACGGCTGACACTGGTTTATCTTGATGACGGCTGACACTGGTTTATCTTGATGACGGCTGACACTGGTCTGTCTTGATGACGGCTGACACTGGTCTGTCTTAATGACTGCTGACACTGGTTTATCTTGATGACGGCTGACACTGGTCTGTCTTGATGACCGCTGACACTGGTCTGTCTTGATGACGGCTGACACTGGTTTATCTTGATGACGGCTGACACTGGTTTATCTTGATGACCGCTGACACTGGTTTATCTTGAAGACCGCTGACACTGGTTTATCTTGATGACCGCTGACACTGGTCTATCTTGATGACGGCTGACACTGGTTTATCTTGATGACGGCTGACACTGGTTTATCTTGATGACGGCTGACACTGGTCTGTCTTGATGACGGCTGACACTGGTCTGTCTTAATGACTGCTGACACTGGTTTATCTTGATGGCGGCTGACACTGGTCTGTCTTGATGACCGCTGACACTGGTCTGTCTAGATGACCGCTACCAGTTTCTGTCTAATGCTTGACAAGGCACAGTAGAGATCTCTCCCCACATCCAGCTGCCAGCGCTAAACAGAAGAATGGTGCTGGTGTTTCTGATCTCGCTTTTGATTCTATAAAACAAAACAAAACAACAACAGTCACATACAGCATATTATATAGATACAATTGATTCCATAAAATAAAACAACAGTCACATACAGCATATTATATAGATACAATTGATTCCATAAAACAAAACAACAGTCACATACAGCGTATTATATAGATGAAATGGATTCCATAAAACAAAACAAAACAGCAATAGTCATGTACAACATGTTATAAAGATAAAATGGTTTCCATTTAAACAAAAATATGATTTGTCCTATGTGGGGAAACTTCTGAAACTCTCTGTGTGTGTTTTGACGAAGCTTGAGAGCCTGGGTTATGACAAAAGAGCAGACTTTCAGTAAGAACTTGTAGATGAAACAGTTGTATCCATTTATCTTGCAGGCTGTTCCATGCTGTCGACTGGTACCCAACAATTCTGGAGTTGGCTGGAGCCAAACCAGGTCAGTGCGGATTTATCTACATATCAGTGAACAGTGGTAACGAGTGTACAAGTCAAGGACCCTTTTCCCAGGCCTTCACGCGCACTGGGCATATAAGGCTAGACCTATATTTTATTGACCAATCGGCATTCAGGGCTGCCTTTACTTTCCATGACTCTACCTAGTACCCATTTAAGGCTGGGTCCACCTGATAGCCATGGTCATTTTTGAAAAGAGTCCGGCCACGTCAACATCCGAACCCACCACCTTCGGATCCGCAGATAAGCATCTACCACTAGACCACGGTGCTCCCGATAAAGCGAAGCTGTTTCATGTTGGACGAGATTTCCTCGCATACTGCAACCAGTGTCTCAGAACTTATTATGTCTCGATCTTGAGCATTTTCATGGAATCAGAAAGCACGTGTGCGCCCGCGCGAGAGAGAGAGAGAGAGAGAGAGAGAGAGAGAGAGAGAGAGAGAGAGAGAGAGAGAGAGAGAGATCATCACAGTCTGCCTGAAATAAACAAGATCTCTCGCCAGCTTTCCTAGCTCATGCACAGATTCAATCACATCCTGTGCCCATCTTCGTGTTGGTCTCTGCCCCTCCTTCCTGGTACCATGCCTTCTGCTGTTAATTTTCGATTCCGTCGTGGCCCTTGACACGACTAAAATATTTCAGCTTCAAAGAGAAGACGCTGTTTACTGGTCAATCTTAACTGGTGTTCTTTTCTGTTCGAATGTCATTATTTCTTTTCTTCTTTGTCCGTGGTATTCCGAGAATCCTTCTATAGCATTTCGGCTCAAACGTACCCCCCCCCCCCCCACCCCCAAAGAACTGGAAGACAGTCCACGACAGTAAAGGTCTTTTTTCCATCCCTTCAGGCGTATACGGCATATAGGGTTAGGCCTATAGCTGTTTAAGTAATCAAAAGTTAAGTCAGCTAAAATCCATTTTCATACAAGTGGGGCATCTAGAGATAAGATCACTTTGACTTCGAGCGTCTTTACTTCCAGGAAAACCGTTGTTGTTAGTGGGTAATCGAGGAGGCAACTTGCTTGCGGATGATTGCCACACAACCGCTCTGTTGTTTTGCCAGTGGGAATCATACAAAACCTCTGTCACTGTCCCAGGGGAAACCTAGTCACCAACATTACCCGCCCGTCTGTCTGTCTGTCTAACTATTGTATATCTCCCCCCCCCCCCCCTGATGAAGTACAATCACTATACCTATTAATCTTACTGTTTAGAATATCAGCCTACAGTGCCATAGGTCCCGGGTTCAAATCCCGGTGAGGGCAAAGATTTTTACACGTGGACTTCTAGTAATATTTCCTGGTCTCTGGTAGTAAGACCGGACGCCTGTGTGTATTTTTGCGCACGTAAAAAATCCCCCGGCAGTTGGAAATTGAAAAAGAGTCGCCTAACGGCGCCGCCCTGGCAAAGTTTGAGTCAAAAATCTACCCAAAAGTATTTTAGGATCCTCGCCAGTGCTACGGAGTTTGTGCACTGCGCTGAGATTCTTCGGACTCAGGCTTGAGACAGCAGTAGATCGGAGAACTAATTGATTACTATCCTTATGCCATGATGTTGATCCGTCCTCTAAACCTAAACCTAAAGTGTTTAGATATATAGGTATTCCACAGTTTGTCATTAAGGCTCAGTTGTTCCTGATGATATTTGTTACTATATGTTACATCATGTATAAACGAAAAAAAAAAATGTACCTAATTCCCAACCCTTTCAAACTTAAGTGCATTTGTTTGTTAGTTGGTTTTATTTATTCATAACCAAGTTCGAAAGGGTTTCGGGTCAACCAGTGTGGCTTCCCGGGCCCTATTATAGGGAAAACCAGAATAGACACACTGCCCACCCAAAAGCATGTCGTAAGAGTCGACTAATTGGTAGCTTTATTTGAAGTCGGAATGCATCTGCCTGAGAGGTGAGGAAGCAACAGTCTGCACACAAATGAGTCAGATCTGTCGGATACACACTCAACACTCAGGTTTCCGAACATGACTGCAGTCCAGAAGTGGACGAACAACCCGAACTTTCCGCCGGAGTTTACAGCTGGTAAACGCGAAGTAAAAGAAGATTTTAGATTAACCCACCACTTTTTCAGGGCTCAGAAACAGAACTTAATCATCAAGGGGGGATAAGCACTTGCTCTGTTATTCACGGGTCAGTACTTATCACACGACTATGATATAATCATGTTCAACGCCCGAAATTAGGCGCCGTTGTGGCACGACCAGGTGCCAAATGAACGCTCTTAACAGTAATTACGTTATTTATTTTGTTGCTGCATTGAGTCAGGCTGATCTACACCGTGCGTCTGCCCTCTCGTTTCTGCTTTCAGAGAAAGGAATCGACGGGAGAAGCCAGTGGAAGATGTTGAGCAAGGCAGGCGAATCGTCCAGGAAGGAGTTCGTATACAATATAGGACCCAACGGGGACGGTGCCATCAGAGCTGGAGATTACAAGCTGATTACTGGACACCCAGGTAGGTCCTCTGTATGTGGTCCGTGGAACCATTTTAGGGGTACCAGAAAAGATGCAACGTACTTTAACAAGCATATCGCAAAAGGCGAATAAGTTTGCTAATATCAGATATAACAGGGCAAAATACGCAGATGTCGCATTCTAGCTGTAAAATACAACATAATATGCTAACTGCCCTTTTACCGGCAAACACATCACGCGCAAAAAAAAAAAAAAAAAAAAGCAGCAGAAGAAGAAGAAGTTATAGTAATAGTAGTAGCAGCAGCATTAGTAGATGTAATAACAGTAGTTTACGCAGCAGCAGCAATAACAGATGTTATAGTAATAGTAGTAGCAGCAGCATTAGTAGATGTAATAACAGTAGTTTACGCAGCAGCAGCAATAACAGATGTTATAGTAATAGTAGTAGCAGCAGCATTTGTAGATGTTATAGTAATAGTAGTAGCAGCAGCATTAGTAGATGTAATAACAGTAGTTTACGCAGCAGCAGCAATAATAGATGTAATAGTAATAGTAGTAGCAGTAGCATTAGTAGATGTAATACCAGTAGTTTACGCAGCAGCAGCAATAATAGATGTTATAGTAATAGTAGTAGCAGCAGCATTAGTAGATGTAATAACAGTAGTTTACGCAGCAGCAGCCATAATAGATGTTATAGTAAAAGTAATAGCAGCAGCATTAGTAGATGTAATAACAGTAGTTTACGCAGCAGCAGCAATAATAGATGTTATAGTAATAATAGTAGCAGCAGCATTAGTAGATGTAATAACAGTAGTTTACGCAGCAGCAGCAATAATAGATGTTATAGTAATAGTAGTAGCATTAGCATTAGTAGATGTAATACCAGTAGTTTACGCAGCAGCAGCAATAATAGATGTTATAGTAATAGTAGTAGCAGCAGCATTAGTAGATGTAATAACAGTAGTTTACGCAGCAGCAGCAATAACAGATGTTATAGTAATAGTAGTAGCAGCAGCATTAGTAGATGTAATAACAGTAGTTTACGCAGCAGCAGCAATAACAGATGTTATAGTAATAGTAGTAGCAGCAGCATTAGTAGATGTAATAACAGTAGTTTACGCAGCAGCAGCAATAATAGATGTTATAGTAATAGTAGTAGCAGCAGCATTTGTAGATGTTATAGTAATAGTAGTAGCAGCAGCATTTGTAGATGTTATAGTAATAGTAGTAGCAGAAGCATTAGTAGATGCAATAACAGTAGTTTACGCAGCAGCAGCAATAACAGATGTTAGAGTAATAGTAGTAGCAGGATAAGCTTTAGTAAATATAATAGTTTTAGTATTTGCAGCCGCAGCAGCATTAGTAGATGTTATAGGAATAGCAGTAGCAGCAGCATTAGTAGATGTTATAGTAATAGTAGTAGCAGCAGTAGCAGCAACAACATTAGCATATGTAACAGCTGTAGACGGTACTACGTATCTCCAGCAAAGGTCAAATCAATATTTGTTTCGTTGCCGGCTCGGATTTGTTTTTATGTGATCGGCCATATTTGACTGCTGAGCTCTTATTGAACTTTCCATTATTATATAATTTCTTTCCCACTATTTGTTTTAGTGTTTGGTAGCATAGCTGTTAACTATTCTGCTTATCATGCGGGAGACCCGCGTTCAATTTCCCGCTAGGTGACATATTTTTTTTTACCCCCTAACTGGGCGGCTGGCGCGTTGTGTTGAGATTTATGGCTAGGCTGCGATATCTACGCCTTTTTCGGTTTTAGGGTTTACAGCTAGCCTGCGACAGCGGCGACGTGATGCTCAATGGTCATGTCAGGGGTATTCTTCGTTCGCACTTGAGAGGGCCGTTGGCACGTTGTGTTGTGGTTTAAAGCTAGGCTGCGATATCTGACCTAAACTCTTCCGTCTTCGGTAGTATAGTTTTAAGTATGTCATCCTTCACTCGGGTGACCGGTGTTCGATTCCCCGCTGGGTGATAATTTTCTTTTTCCCTTAAAAGGGTGGTTGCCACGTTGTGTTGTGGGTTACAGCTAGGCTGCGATATCTGCACCTTTCGCCCAAAGACATCCGATTTCAGTTAAGTCCTAATTAGCCTCCCCGCGACGCTTCTCGATCAAAAACTATTAGGCGACGACAGACACTGTTAACTAAGACGGCTTACAGTCCAGTTTAGTTTGGGTGGACACGGATGCCAAGGTCAGTTAAAAATCGTTCCCTTGGAGAGGGAGAGATGACGGGTGCGGGGTATTTTTCTCCCATATTCGTGAGTATAGTGTACTTTTCACTGTGGGTTCCATCACTGGTTACATGATAAAAAAAATTTTTTCCCCTATGTCAGGGGCAAAATCAAACTAAATAGTCCGTGGCGACAGCATGCGGCGCTAAATCCTCTTTTCTACACCGACCTACACAGACTGTAGTGACAGTTGTTGTTGTTGTTGTTGTGATGGTGGTTGTGGTTGCAGTAGTACTGGTACTGGATCCGTGAAGTGGTTGCTATTACACTGGCTAGATTTACTTCTCTGTACAAGTTAATGCTACCTGTCTGGGTAAACACGGATGCAAAGCTCAAATTAGTTACAATATTTCGTTACATTGTGACTTTAGCATCTTTCGGTGAAGATGCTATGATTTGGGGGGGGGGGGGGGGATTTATGCCAGACACAGTTAGCTGAGAGAGCTTAAATTAATATTTTAAAGTTCTCATTTTTAAACTCTTTCTATTGTAATAATTTCGCCATGGAGGATTTTTCAATCCTTCGGAGAGGTAGATACGACTTCGCCTGGTGATGATTTTTCAATCCTTTGTAGAGGGAGATATGATTGGGGGAGCGGGGGAGGGGGGGGTTATGCTAGACACAGTTAGCTGAGAGAGCTTAAAACATTATTTTAATGTTCTCATTTCTTAACTATTTCTATTATTATAATTTTTCCAGGTGATAATTTTTCAATCCTAATAAGGGGGAGATATGATTGGTGGAAAGCGGGGGAGGGGGAGGGTTATGCTAGACACAGTTTGATGAGAGAGCTTAACAACCTTTTTGAAGTTTTTATTTCTTAACTATTTCTATTTTAATAATTTCGCCACGGTCGATTTCAATTCTTCGGAGAGGGAGATATGACTGGGTCGAGGTGAGGGGGGGGGGGGGGGTATGAAAGACGCTGTTAGCTAACAGCTTTTTTCTTTCCTCTCCATTTCACCATTCTGGGCCACAGCAACGCGTGGCCGGGTACAGCTAGTAACACTATAAATCGATTACACTGACATGGTAAATATTTCCGAAAAAAAAGGAGAAGTAACCGAATGATTTGCCCTAGGTTTCCACAACGATTGGTACCCTACACCTGGAGCAGCCAAAATAGCCAGACGGAGGTTTAAAGGTGGACGGTTTGATCAAGTAAAACTCACAAAGTCCCCCTATTTGCTTTTCAACATTGAAGGTAAACAATTTGCTATCACGCAGAACGTCAATCTCATCTTCGCACGCTTTACATGCACTCATTTCTATATCAAAATGGTCACAAACTGATATATTTGATAGTGTCTCGGAAATGGGGTCAAACGAGAAGAAGTTGGCACATAACAAAGTCTAAGTTACAAAGACAGCTACTCAAATGTTCGGTCCACTTAGAAAGAATGTCTTGTGGCGCTTTACCATACTCCACTTAGAAAAAAATGTCTTGTGGCGCTTTACCATACTCCACTTAAAAATAATGTCTTGAGGCGCCTCACCATACTCCTCTTAGGAAGAATGTTTTGTGGCACTTTACCATACTCCACTTAGAAAGAATGTCTTGTGGCGCCTTACCATACTCCACTTAGAAAGAATGTCTTTTGGCGCTTTACCATACTCCACTTAGATAGAATGTCTTGTGGCGCCTTACCATACTCCACTTAGAATGAATGTCTTGTGGCGCTTTACCATACTCCACTTAGAAAGAATGTCTTGTGGCGCTTTACTGTACTCCACTTAGAATGTCTTGTGGCACCTTACCATACTCTACTTAGAAAGAATGTCTTGTGGCGCCTAACCATACTCCACTTAGAAAGAATGTCTTGTCGCGCTTTACTGTACTCCACTTAGAATGTCTTCTGGCACCTTACTATTTTCCACTTAAAAAGAATGTCTTGTGGCGCTTTACCATACTCTACTTAGAAAGAATGTCTTGTTCCGCCTTAACATACTCCACCTAGAAAGAATGTCTTGTGGTGCTTTACCATACTCCACTTAGAAAGAATGTCTTGTGGCGTCATACCCTACTATACTTAGAAAGAATGTCTTGTAGCATCTTACCATACTCCACTCAGAAAGAACGTCTTGTGGCGCTTTAGCATTCTCCACTTAGAAAGAATGTCTTGTGGCGCCTTACCATACTCCACCTAGAAAGAATGTCTTGTGGTGCTTTACCATACTCCACTTAGAAAGAATGTCTTGTAGCGTCTTACCATACTCCACTCAAAAAGAACATCTTGTGGCGCTTTACCATTCTCCACTCAGAAAGAATGCCTTGTGGCGCTTTACCATTCTCCACTTAGAAAGAATGTCTTGTGGCGCCCCACCATACTCCACTTAGAAAGAATGTCTTGTGGCGCCTTACCATATTCCACTTAGAAAGAATGTCTTGTGACGCTTTACCATACTCCACTTAGAATGTCTTGTGACGCTTTACCATATTCCACTTAGAAAGAATGTCTTGTGACGCTTTACCATATTCCACTTAGAAGGAATGTTTTGTGGCGTCTTACCATAATCCACTTAGAAAGAATATCTTGTGGCGTCTTACCATATTCCACTTAGAAAGAATGTCTTGTGGCGTCTTACCATACTCCACTTAGAAAGAATGTCTTGTGGCGTCTTACCATACTCCACTTAGAATGTCTTGTGACGCTTTACCATATTCCACTTAGAAAGAATGTCTTGTGACGCTTTACCATACTCCACCTAGAAAGAATGTCTTGTGACGCTTTACCATATTCCACTTAGAAAAAATGTCTTGTGGCGTCTTACCATACTCCACTTAGAAAGAATGTCTTGTGACGCTTTACGCCAATCTCCACTTAGAATCTTGTGGCTCCACGTAGAAAGAATGTCTTGTGGCGTCTTACCATACTTTAGCATGTCTTTCTCCACTCCACTTAGAAAGAATGTCTTTGTGGCGCCTTACCATACTCCACCTAGAAAGAATGTCTTGTGGTGCTTTACCATACTCCACTTAGAAAGAATGTCTTGTAGCGTCTTACCATACTCCACTCAAAAAGAACATCTTGTGGCGCTTTACCATTCTCCACTTAGAAAGAATGTCTTGTGGCGCCCCACCATACTCCACTTAGAAAGAATGTCTTGTGGCGCGTTTTACCATACTACCATACCATATTCCACTTAGAAAGAATGTCTTGTGTGACGCGCTTTACCATACTCCACTTAGAATGTCTTGTGACGCTTTAGAACCATATTCCACCACTTAGAAAGAATGTCTTGTGACGCTTTACCATATTCCACTTAGAAGGAATGTCTTGTGGCGCTTTACCATACTCCACTTAGAAAGAATGTCTTGTGGCGTCTTACCATATTCCACTTAGAAAGAATGTCCACTTGTGGCTTGTGGCGCCCCCCCATACTCCACTTAGAAACTTTAATGTCTTGTGGCGCCTTACCATACTCCACTTAGAATGTCTTGTGACGCTTTACCATATTCCACTTAGAAAGAATGTCTTGTGACGCTTTACCATACTCCACTTAGAAAGAATGTCTTGTGACGCTTTACCATACTCCACGTAGAAAGAATGTCTTGTGAAGTCTTACCATAATCTACTTAGAAAGAATGTCTTGTGGCGTCCTACCATACTCTACTTAGAAAGAATGTCTTGTGGCGTCTTACCATACTTCACTTAGAAAGAATGTCTTGTGGCGCCTTACCATACTCCACTTAGAAAAGAATGTCTTGTGACGCTTTTCCATACTCCACTTAGAAAGAATGTCTTGTGGCTCTTTACCATATTCCACTTAGAAAGAATGTCTTGTGACGCCTTACCATACTCCACTTAGAATGTCTTGTGGTGCGTTACCATACTCCACTTAAAAATAATGGCTTGAGGCGCCTTACCATACTCCTCTTAGAAAGAATTTTTTTGGCACTTTACCATACTCCACTTAGAAAGAATGTCTTGTGGCGCCTTACCATAATCCACTTAGAAAGAATGTCTTTTGGCGCTTTACCATACTCCACTTAGAAAGAATGTCTTGTGGCGCCTTACCATACTCCACTTAGAATGAATGTCTTGTGGCGCTTTACCATACTCCACTTAGAAAGAATGTCTTGTGGCGCTTTACTGTACTCCACTTAGAATGTCTTGTGGCACCTTACCATACTCTACTTAGAAAGAATGTCTTGTGGCGCCTAACCATACTCCACTTAGAAATAATGTCTTGTCGCGCTTTACTGTACTCCACTTAGAATGTCTTCTGGCACCTTACCATATTCCACTTAGAAAGAATGTCTTGTGGCGCTTTACCATACTCTACTTAGAAAGAATGTCTTGTGGCGCCTTACCATACTCCACCTAGAAAGAATGTCTGGTGGTGCTTTACCATACTCCACTTAGAAAGAATGTCTTGTGGCGTCATACCCTACTATAAATAGAAAGAACATCTTGTGGCGCTTTACCATTCTCCACTCAGAAAGAATGCCTTGTGGCGCTTTACCATTCTCCACTTAGAAAGAATGTCTTGTGGCGCCCCACCATACTCCACTTAGAAAGAATGTCTTGTGGCGCCTTACCATATTCCACTTAGAAAGAATGTCTTGTGACGCTTTACCATATTCCACTAGAAAGAATGTCTTGTGACGCTTTACCATATTCCACCTAGAAAGAATGTCTTGTGGCGCTTTACCATACTCCACTTAGAAAGAATGTCTTGTGACGCTTTACCATATTCCACGTAGAAAGAATGTCTTGTGAAGTCTTACCATAATCCACTTAGAAAGAATGTCTTGTGGTGCTTTACCATACTCCACTTAGAAAGAATGTCTTGTAGCGTCTTACCATACTCCACTTAGAAAGAATGTCTTGTGGCGCTTACCATACTCCACTTAGAAAGAATGTCTTGTGGCGCTTTACCATTCTCCATAGAAAGAATGTCTTGTCCACATACTCCACTTAGAAAGAATGTCTTGTGGCGCTTACCATAATCCACTTAGAAAGAATGTCTTGTGACGCTTTACCATACTCCACTTAGAAAGAATGTCTTGTGACGCTTTACCATATTCCACTTAGAAAGAATGTCTTGTGGCGCTTTACCATACTCCACTTAGAAAGAATGTCTTGTGGCGTCTTACCATACTCCACTTAGAAAGAATGTCTTGTGGCTCTTTACCATATTCCACTTAGAAAGAATGTCTTGTGACGCCTTACCATACTCCACTTGTCTTGTGGCGTCTTACCATACTCCACTTAGAAAGAATGTCTTGTGGCGCCTTACCATACTCTCTTAGAAAGAATGTTTTGTGGCACTTTACCATACTCCACTTAGAAAGAATGTCTTGTGGCCTTACCATACTCCACTTAGAAAGAATGTCTTGTGGCGCTTTTACCATACTCCACTTAGAAAGAATGTCTTGTGGCGCTTTACCATACTCCACTTAGAAAAGAATGTCTTGTGGCGCTTTACCATACTCCACTTAGAAAGAATGTCTTGTGGTGCCTTACCATACACTTAGAAAGAATGTCTTGTGGCGCCTTACCATACTCCACTTAGAAAGAATGTCTTGTGGCGCTTTACCATACTCCACTTAGAAAGAATGTCTTCTGGCACCTTACCATACTCCACTTAGAAAGAATGTCTTGTGGCGCTTTACCATACTCCACTTAGAAAGAATGTCTTGTGGCGCCTTACCATACTCCACTTAGAAAGAATGTCTTGTGGCGCCTTACCATACTCCACTTAGAAAGAATGTCTTGTGGCGTCTTTACCATACTCCACTTAGAAAGAATGTCTTGGCGCGTCTTACCATACTCCACTCAGAAAGAATGTCTTGTACTTACCATACTCCACATGTCTTGTGGCGCCTTACCATACTCCAGAAAGAATGTCTTGTGGTGCTTTACCATACTCCACTAGAAAGAATGTCTTGTGGCGCTTTCTGTACTCCCTCTAGAAGAACGCTTACCATACTCCACTTAGAAAGAATGTCTTGTGGCGCTTTACCATACTCCACTTAGAAAGAATGTCTTGTGGCGCCTTTACTACCACTCAAGAAAGAATGTCTTGTGGCGCTTACCCACTCCACTTAGAAAGAATGTCTTGTGGCGCCTTTACCATACTCCACTTAGAAAGAATGTCTTGTAGCGGCGCTGTTACCATACTCCACTTAGAAAGAATGTCTTGTGGCGCCTTAACCATACTTCCTTTACCATACTCCTAAAGAATGTCTTGTAGCGTCTTTACCATACTCCACTTAGAATGTCTTGTGACGCTTTACCATATTCCACTAGAAAGAATGTCTTGTGACGCTTTACCATATTCCACTTAGAAAGAATGTCTTGTGGCGCCTTACCATACTCCACTTAGAATGTCTTGTGACGCTTTACCATATTCCACTTAGAAAGAATGTCTTGTGACGCTTTACCATACTCCACCTAGAAAGAATGTCTTGTGACGCTTTACCATATTCCACTTAGAAAGAATGTCTTGTGGCGTCTCACCATACTCCACTTAGAAAGAATGTCTTGTGACGCTTTACCATACTCCACGTAGAAAGAATGTCTTGTGAAGTCTTACCATACTCCACCTAGAAAGAATGTCTTGTGGCGTCCTACCATACTCCACTTAGAAAGAATGTCTTGTGGCGTCTTACCATACTCCACTTAGAAAGAATGTCTTGTGGCGCTTTACCATACTCCACTTAGAAAGAATGTCTTGTGGCGTCTTACCATACTTCACTTAGAAAGAATGTCTTGTGGCGCCTTACCATACTCCACTTAGAAAGAATGTCTTGTGGCGCTTCACCATACTCCACTTAGAAAAAATGTCTTGTGATGCCTTACCATACTCCACTTAGAAAGAATGTCTTGTGACGCTTTTCCATACTCCACTTAGAAAGAATGTCTTGTGTCTCTTTACCATATTCCACTTAGAAAGAATGTCTTGTGACGCCTTACCATACTCCACTTAGAAAGAATGTCTTGTGGCGTCTTACCATACTCCACTTAGAAAGAATGTCTTGTGGCTCTTTACCATACTCCACGTAGAAAGAATGTCTTGTGGCGTCTTACCATACTCCACGTAGAAAGAATGTCTTGTGGCGTCTTACCATACTCCACTTAGAAAGAATGTCTTGTGGCGTCTTACCATACTCCACGTAGAAAGAATGTTTTGTGGCCTCTTACCATACTCCACTTAGAAAGAATGTCTTGTGGCCTCTTACCATACTCCACTTAGGAAGAATGTCTTGTGGCGTCTTACCATACTCCACTTAGAAAGAATGTCTTGTGGCGTCTTACCATACTCCACTTAGAAAGAATGTCTTGTGGCGTCTCACCATACAAGGCTTCCAGTAAAAGAGAACAAAGACGCAGAGCACGAAGCAGACCAAAAAACAAAGTGGAAAGACAACGTCGGAGAAACAGCACAACAGCATGATGCGTCTATGGTCAAAGAGCAGAAAGCAGAACCTTATACTTCCACGTTACCCCAAGCGGTAAAAGAGGAAGTGACGAAAGAGAACAATGATGTAGGAAAAAAGCAAAACAAACAATAAAATATTTCGGCCTCATAAAAAAAAAAAAAAGCTTTTCAAAACTATGCAGGGAAATTCCGAAAGTACAAGAGCAAGAGGTAAACAGCGATACAGGGGTGGGGGGGGGCATAAAGTCAAGAGATGGATGAACCAGGACCGGCTCCAGCTGACGGGTATGCTTCTGACGTCACTGGGTCGGGCTACGGATGCGTTAACGCAGCGGTTCTCAAACAAGAAATAAACTATTGTTGATAGTGGCGAGGGAAGACAACTTAAATTTCAACTTTTAAGTATCTACATGCCTACTTTTATAATTTTACAATTTTTAGCCGATTTTTCTTGATTTTTGCCGCGGTACCAATGGCATACACTCACGGCCCCTCAGAATCATGAGGTACCCAGTTTGAGAACCGCTGCGTTAACGCATCGTAAGCCCAACCCGGCGACGTCAGCAGCACGGGCTGTCAGCTGATGCCGGTCGTGGTTGTACAGTAGTCTGAGGTGGTGTGCAACCAAGAACAGAGACAGAAGGTAGTAAAGATCCACTTCAGCAAACTTTCATTGACTGAATGAACGATGAATGGATTAACGGTTAGGCTAGGTTGGTAATGACTCTTTTATCATTATCATTGTCATGTCCTTCACAGAATGTCGCTCTTTTTACGGCACGCCTGAAAGTCTCTGTTGCGCTAGCCAATTACCCACCCCTGTGTGCTTTTAAAGTCATTACATCTTCAATGTCTTGTATCCAACTTGGCGGAGATCGTCAACCTTCCTTCGCCGTACTCTGCATGCTACCATGACGCGTAACATGGCCAAAGTGCTGCAGCTTTTGGGACAGGGTGCTGTTTATGAGCCAATTCTCCCCCATGATCAGATGACATAGGATGTTGGGTTGTGCTCTTCTTGGTCCACAAAACTCTAAGAAACTGTCTGTAGCATATCAGTTCAAAAGTTCCGATTGTTTCCCTCAAAGACTGAAAGAGAGTGCATGACATCCATAAGCTGCAATAGGAAAGATACAAGCGCTGTGCTATAGATAATGATTCTCTTCCGTGATTTAACTGTAACAATTTTCGCGGACACACACACACAGAGAAAGAGAGAGAGAGAGAGAGAGAGAGAGAGAGAGAGACATAGAGAGAGAGAGACATAGAGAGAGAGAGACAGAGACAGAGACAGAGAGACAGAGAGAGACATAGAGAGATAGAGAGAGAGAGAGAGAGAGAGAGAGAGAGAGACAGAGACAGAGACAGAGAGAGACGAATCGAGCGCAATATTTGTATTCTCTACCCATCTTGTAATTCATCACAGAGGATGTTATGAGACAATTGTGACCAAGCCATCTCAGCCTTCGAAGACTGAAAACAGAAAAACAAGCTAAGATGATCATCGTAACATTAACCACATAACCACATACATTTATCCTCCACTACACCCAGCCTAAAATGGGTACCAGGATGGGCTGTCCTGGGAAAGTAAAGACAGCCGGCGTAATGCTGACCACATTACCCACAGAGGGCTGATGGTCTGTAAAAATATGGGACGCTCTGCCCATATGCCCGATGCGCCGAAAGGCGTGAAAAGGGAACTTTACTTTTTTTTTTACTTTTTTTTTACAGAAGACCCCGAGGAAAAGATGGATCTCTCTATGGAAAAACCCGACATCTTGCGAGAAATGCTGAAGCTGTATGAGATCTACAACTCTACCAAGATCCCACCACACACAGCAACGTATGATGCAGCCGCAGACCCCGCTCATTTTAATGGTTTCTGGAGTCCTGGGTGGTGTTAACTGTTATCATCATCAGCATCTTGAGCATGCAGTGCCGTCTCCTCCGTGAAGGCTGGCTAAAATGGATTCCCAACAGTGTCTATTCTAAGTTGTACAATATAAAAAGCTGTCATAAAAAAATGTCACTGATGGCTGTATTTACCATTTTTAGGCTGGGGTAGAGAAGTGGCCTTGGAACTTGAGGCTATCGAGGCTATTGCGGTGAAAAAGATGAGTGTCTGCAAGGGCTGAAAGTTGGCCGTGTCTGTGTGTCCAATTTATTACCCTTTCAAAATATCAGGGTTTTTTTTTTGGGGGGGGGGGGGAGGGGGTCCATCTTTCCTCCACCTTGTTGCTCTGCATGTACACTCTGTCTGACCGATGCTGTCCATCTCTTGACATTATCGCCCTTCTTGTATAGCTGTCGACCTCTCGCTTGTCTGCTTTCAACTTTCCCCTCCAGTTTAGCTTATGTCTTTTAATAACCCCGAAATGTTTCAGTTGCCTCCTGTTTGTTTTATTTCTCAAGCAACTCTCTTTTAATTTTATCTCTACAGTGCCTCTTTATTTAACTTTTTTGTTGTTTCCAGAAGTAGGAACTATTCTTCTGCATATGTGAATATCCAGAAATTAAATACAATTTCTAACTGTCTGTTCGCTGTCCAAGTTTCTACACCATACAGATACAGCACGGAAGAAGAAATAAGAAAAAAGAAAGAAAGAAAGAAAGAAAGAAAGAAAGAAAGAAAGAAAGAAAGAAAGAAAGAAAGAAAGAAAGAAAGAAAGAAAGAAAGAAAGAAAGAAAGAAAGAAAGAAAGAAAGAAAGAAAGAAAGAAAGAAAGAAAGAAAGAAAGAAAGAAAGAAAGAAGAAGAAGGAGGAGGAGGAGGAGAAGAAAAAGGAGGAGGAGAAAAGGGAGGAGGAGAATATCACATGAGAAAATTCCACAGTTTCAGAGTGAAGCCTAGATGGCGAACAACAGTACCCAGGGACCAATGCAATCAGGTGTGCCGCTACTTGTGGGAACAGCTACGACAGCTAAGTCCGATGTGGGAGTGGCTGGCTCTGCCACATATTCCACACACAATCGTTGATACTCTAACACAGTGGTTCTCAACCTTCCTTATCTTAACATCGCGACCCCGTTGATACAGTTGCCCGTGTTGGGATGACTCCCAAGCATAACATTATTGGTCCTATTTACGTTTCCCGGCCCATCTTCACATTGGCTGACTTTTCTTTTATGAATTTTTAGACTGTTCTAAGTCAGAGGGGTGCCATGTTGTCTTGTCCCCTATTATATCAGCGTCGATTTTGCCTGTTCTATATACTACACGACGACACAGCTTTTAACGATCCCAGAGCTTCTAGAACTGACACTAACCCAAACCCCCTCCCCTACACACAGCCTGAGCCTAGGTCCCACGAGACTCCTTTCGAAGAAAACAGTACAACGTGACACCCCTCTGACCTAGATCACACTGAGAAAGTGTGTAGACGGGATCAAATTATTTTCTATCCTTCTTCCTAACTTCAGTTAATCTTTTTTTTTTTTTTCTTCTTTTAAGCGACCCCTGTGAAAGAGTCGTTCGACACCCTTACCCCTCCCCTCCCCCAAGAGGTCGCGACCAACAGGTTGAGAACCGCTGCTTTAGTACAATGAGGTTAGTTTTTCTCTGAGACTCCCCCTGTCTATGGCTCGTGGAAGAATACAACAGCTGTGATCCCCAAGGCGCGATATTAGCTCTACTTTATCCTGCGCAGTCATCAAATAAACAGGCCACATTGGTCTCTTCATTCAAAGTGCTGTCGTTAAAGAATCTGTACGTGTAATGCACTATTCTGCATTGAATAACATCAACTTCCACTGTTGGACATGTCAGGAGTGCCGACAGCAAGAAAACATGCGGGGGAAGGGGCGTGGTCTTCCTAGCAAATAGTTTAGAGGGAGGTCTTATTACATGCTTTCGAAAACGGTGTTGCGACGAATCTTTGGTTTTATCAAAGATACAAACAGCGGGGACTGCAGAGTGAGAAGCAACAATGAAATTCATAATCTATTTAAACCACCACTGATCACTGGCATCATGAGAGCTAATAGAGTGAAATGGCGGTGGCATACTGAGAGAACGTTAGATGACAGAGGGGTAAAAAAAAACTTTTATATACAAGGGAGCTGAATGATCGTAGACCACGAGGCAGACCAAGAATACAATGGAGAGATAAAGCCAGACAGACCAGAAAACACTTGTGTTACTAATTGGAAATGGAAGGCCAACCAGAGAGACATCTGCAGCAATGAATCTCATGGGCTCGGAATGCTGAAGAAGAAAAAGAAGAAGAAGAAGAAGAAGAAGAAGAAAAAGAGGTCTCATAGGGTCGAAGCCTGTATTGCATATTTAATATATTATTACCATTATTTTTACTAACAACTATGCATAAGCGCTATCTTTTTCAGTGTTTTATTTACACACCTTTTTTCTAAATGGAGCAAAGTATTTATTTTTCATTCAGCACACTATGTATCATTATTATTAGCATTATTGTTAGAATTATTGTTATCATTGTTGTTAGCATTCTTGTTATTATTAAGTACTGAATGACATAGGAGCGAAAGGTTAGAAAGATGAGCTCCCAAGCAGGAAACCCGGTTTCAAATCCTCGGTAAGGCTGGGGATTTTTTCTGTCAGGGGCAAAATAAAATCCTCACCTGCACAGTCCGTGGCGACAGCACTAGCCATGCGGCCGTAAATCCTCAGCCTCAAAGACGCCCTCTGCCTACACCGCAAAAGTGATATAACAAAGGCAGTCATTGGCAGTTTTGGGCCGAATGGCAACAACATTTAATACCATAGTTTAATTTATATGTGTAGACAGAAAATTGAACGTAACTTGTATACACTGTTGGTAAGGGGGGAGTTGGGGGGGGGGGGGGTCAGTTTTTGCCTGCTTTTAAATAAAGGCCCCAAGTTTCTAGAGACCCTGGGACCAGGTACATTTGCCAGACATCATAACACCTGCAGACTTAGCTTTTCAAACATATTTCCCTTCTGCGTTTATTCACAATTTAGCAGATCTCATAGCGTGTTCTCTTTGTTAAAGGTTGTCTGTAACCTCTGGTAACTGGGGTGTCTGAGGAAAGCCGCAAAATGAACCACACCAGAACCATACCAGCTAAGGTAGATATGTTATTATGAGACAGACTGGACAGAATTAGATCCGCACACAATACTGAATGTTCAATGTTGAATTAGGAATCGACATCACAGCACTTGGGACACTCCCATAAGTGTTCAGTCCCCATCTTCAGCAGCAAGCGAAGATTTCCAATTCCGATGGTACCAGTAACCGTCTGATTGTATATCCGTCTCATCCTTCCCCTGGGTGTTAAGTATAGGCCAGATCACCTGGTAACTCCTCGCAGCGCCCTTCTCCTTAAACCATAATGATCTGTCTGCGCCTCCACACTGTTTACTTGCTCCCAAAAGGCCGTCACAATATCTAACTTGTCAAACATCACTTCACCACCAAGTGGTGCAGAGCCAGCCAGTCTATCTGCCTGCTCATTTCCAAACACACCGCATGACCTAGAGAAAATATCCAAAGGATGCTAACTACCCCGGACCTCTGAAGTGATGCTTGCCACTCTGCACGAAGAATGCCTGTTTTCACCTTTCTTAACATGCTCTGTAAGTCAATTACAATCATGGCATGTGTTTACAGCTGATTCTCAAGCCAGCAGAGACTGCCTCCACCTCCATTCTCGAACTAGACGTTGTGATATCATATGCAAGGCTTTGTTACACTAAGCGACGTCCTTTCGCCTTTGCTAAGAAACCCTATGCACTTTGTCTGCCCTCAACACAGAGCCATCTGTATAGATAATCACATCACGTGGGCGGGGATTGTCATGGCACATTTGTGAAACTTGTGATTTCGCACACAATAAACAAGCAAGTATTTGCAGATGATCAGTGGCTGTTCTATAATGAGGGGTAGTAGACTGCAAGAAACATTTCTACAGGCTACGTTCAACACGCAGAAGATGTAACATAAAAGTAAATACAACTAAAACTGAAATAATCAGTGCATATCAGTAGAATTCCCAGTTTGCTACAAACAGAGTTGAATGGCTATTGTCTGAAGTCAGTTCATCATCATTATCATCATCAGGTGGAGTGGGCGATCATGCCTCTCCATAATCTGCGATCTCCTGCAGCATGTATCAGTTCGTGTGCCGACACTCCTCCATGCCATGCAACAAGACTGTCAAGCATCTTCTCTCGTTGTCTTCCTCTATCCCTATTTCTACAGGCGTGTATCATGCTGCGCGACTCAGCCCATGCTATTAATCTGTCACCTCTCACATTCTTTTCTCCTAGGCCATAGCCACCCCGTTATTCCGTACACTTTTTCACTTCCTGTTTTCGCGTTGAAATCTCCAAGTACCATTGTTACTTCAAAATTTTTGCACTGATCAACAGCCATGCCTAACTCATCATAAAATGCGTCAATATCTTCCTCTGAAGTATCTGCTGTTGGGGCATAAATATGTACTAAGTTGATGTCAAACGGTCTGCCGCGAAGTTTTACTAATAGTACTCCATCTGATATTGTCCAAAATCCTTTAACAGTTTTTGAGTTCTTTGGATCCATAATAATACCAACTCCCTTACTTTATTCCTTCCCACCCGAGTAAATAATTATGTACTGATCTGAATACTTTTCCCCTGCTCCTGGCCATCGCATTTCACTAATTCCTAATATGTTGATGTTAATTCTCTTTATTTCCATCTTGATGTTATCCAACTTTCCGTTTTGTACGAGTGTTCTGACATTCCATGTTCAGGATGTTTCTACCATTTACTTTTTCTACAGTAGCTGGATGACGGTCGGGTATCACCCGTAGAACATGATGCTCCCTACCGGACGAGGTGATTCCACTGGAATCCTTATTCACGTCGTTATCTGAATTCCTATTATTTTGAGGCATGATTTTCTTGGGATAATACAGCGGTGGTTT